TTGCCCAAACTGAGCAAAGAAGAAGTGAACCAATTAAACAAGCCAATATCCTACAATGAGATACAGGAAGTTATCAAAAGTCTTCCAACAAAAAAAAGCCCAGGACCAGATGGATTCACAGCAGAATTCTATAAGACCTTTAACGAAGAACTAACACCCATACTCCTCAAGCTCTTCAGAGAAACAGAGAAGGAGGGAGCTATCCCAAACTCATTCTACGAAGCCAATATCATACTCATCCCCAAACCAGGCAAAGACCCAACCAAAAAGGAGAATTACAGGCCAATTTCCCTGATGAACACAGATGCAAACATCCTTAACAAGATTCTAGCTAACAGAATCCAGAAACAGATAAAAGAAAAATCATACACTATGACCAGGTAGGCTTCATCCCAGAGACGCAGGGATGGTTTAACATACGTAAGTCAATAAATGTAATCCAGCATATCAACAGAGCCAAGGTCAAGAATCACATGATTATCTCCACCGATACAGAAAAGGCCTTTGATAAAATTCAACATTCATTCATGCTAAAAGCTCTGGAGAAAATAGGAATAGAAGGAACATTTCTAAAAACACTAAAAACCATTTATGACAGACCAATAGCCAATACTTAATGGGGAAAAGCTACAACCAATTCTCCTAAAATCAGGAACAAGGCAAGGATGCCCACTGTCTCCACTCCTCTTCAATATAGTCCTGGAACCCTTAGCCATGGCAACAAGGCAAGAAAAAGACATTAAAGGGATCCGCATAGGGAAAGAAGAAGTTAAACTATCCCTTTTTGCAGACGACATGATACTATACCTTCACGATCCCAAAAACTCCATCCCCAAACTCTTAGAAATCATAAATCACTTCAGCAAAGCAGCAGGATACAAAATCAACCCACAAAAATCAGTTGCCTTCCTGTATACTGACAATGTACAAGAAGAGAGGGAAATAAAGGGAGCAACCCCATTCACAATAACCTCCCCAAAAATAAAATATTTAGGAATTAACCTAATCAAAGATGTAAAAGAACTATTTAATGAAAACTATAAAAAGTTAAAGAAAGAAATTTCAGAAGACACTAGGAAATGGAAAGACCTCCCATGCTCTTGGATAGGCCAACTTCATATAGTAAAGATTTAGGTAATACTTCCAAAATTAATATACAAATTCAGTGCAATTCCTATTAAAATCCCAATGACATACATCACTGAAATACAGAAAACAGTCCAAAAATTCATATGGAACAACAAAAGACCTAGAATAGCCAAAACAATTCTAGGGGATAAAGACAATATGGGAGGGATATCCATGCCTAACTTCAAACTCTACTACAGAGCTATAAAAACAAAGACAGCATGTTATTGGCACAAAAACAGACCCGAAGACCAATGGAACAGAATAGAAGATCCAGAAATAAATCCACAGGCCTAAAGCCAGCTGATATTCGACAAAGGAGCCAAAGACATACAATGGAAGAAACACAGCCTCTTCAACCACTGGTGCTGAGAAAACTGGGCGGCTACATGCAGAAAACTAAAAGTGTACCCTAGCTTGTCACCATGCACCAACATCAACTCAAAATGGATTAAAGACCTTAACATTAAACCTGAATCTCTGAAACTACTGCAGAACAGAGTAGGAGAGACACTTGAACTAATAGGCACAGGAAGGAGCTTCCTGAACAGAGTCCCAGGGTCACAACAAATTGGAGAGAGACTAGACAAATGGGACTACCTTAAAATAAAAAGCTTCTGCACAGCTAAATCTATCGCAACCAAGCTAGAAAGACAACCAACTAATTGGGAAAAAATATTTACCAGCAATATATCAGACAAGGGGTTAACATCCTGTATATACAGGGAACGCAAGAAACTAATCCTTCCCAAACCTAACAAACCAATTACTAAATGGGCAAGGGAACTAAAGAGGGACTTCTCAAATAAAGAAATAAAAATGGCAAAGAAACACATGAGGAAATGTGCATCATCCCTGGTGGTGAAGGAAATGCAAATAGGCAACCCTGAGATACCACCTTACCCGAGTCAGAATGTCCCACATCCACAAATCAGCCAATGACAAATGCTGGAGGGGATGTGGAGAATGAGGAACTCTTTTACACTGCTGGTGGGAATGTACACTTACACAACCACTTTGGAAAGCAGTCTGGAGGGTCCTCAGAAAGCTAAATATTGACCTCCCTTATGACCCAGTCATACCACTTCTAGGCATCTACCCTGAACAACAGGAACCAATATACAAGGACACATTCACCTCCATGTTTATTGCAGCACTGTTAACAATAGCTAGGATATGGAAACAACCCAGATGTCCCACCACAGATGAATGGATCCAAAAATTGTGGTATCTATACACAATGGAATATTATGCAGCCATTAGAAATGACAAAATAATGGCATTTGCCGGGAAATGGATGGAGCTAGAAGGAATCATGTTGAGCGAGGTAAGCCAAGAGCAAAGAGACAAACAGTACACTGTCTCCCTGATAAGTCCATGCTAAATCCAAAATGTTAGATGATGTGACAAAATTAATAGGAGTTAAGAAACAAAGAACTCCCACTCATCTGGTCGAACCACTACTAAATATCCCCATGCTGCTGATCACATGTATATGTATACCTGTACACCGTTATATCCTATAGACTGTGATAAACAATATGCTCTAGGAAAGTTAGAATGAACTTGTGACTTTAAATGAGCATCATTAATCCACAATACTGTGAAATTGGGAAATTATGTAATCACTTAATCACAATTAAAAAAAAAAAAAAGAACCTCCGGGAAGGTAGGGAGGGAAGGAATGGTAGGGGGAAAACAATGGAGGGGGTAACAATGCTCAATAGGAAGTGTACTCATTACCTTACTCATGTAATTGTAAGCCTCTGTACAGTATCTTTACAATAAAATAAAATAAAATAAAAAAAGAACAAATCACAAATGGTGACTTGGTGTTGAGTTCTGTAGTTTCCCAGAGTATCCATCGGTACTACCACAATCCTTCCTTTTCCTGTTGTATTGATTGACTCTCCAGGACTGAGCTAGCCTTGCATTCCTGGGGAAAGCCAGCCCTGTCGTAACACATTATCCTGCTGCATAGCTTTCTGAAATGCCCTAGGTTTGGACTTCAGTGTATTGATGAATCTCCCCTACCCCGCGTTGTGGGAGGAGCTGTGTAGAACCATTATTCTTTTCATTTTTGAACATTTTCATAGACTTCTCTAGTGGACAACCTGGACCTACTGGTTTCTTGGTTGGAGCGATTGTAAGTTGAAATCAAGAAAGAAACCACTTGAAGGAAAAGAGATATCAGAAAAAATATTTGCAAGAGACTCCTGTGGTAAAGCTGCTACCCATAGTTACAAAGACCTGTTCACACTCAAGCATAAGAAAACAACCTGAACCAAAAATATAAAAGGGTGGATAAACACTGCACCACAGAAGACACACAGGTGGCCGAGAGGTGCATGCAAAGATGCTCCATCACTTGATAAGTGCACATTAAAGTAACCACTTGACACAACTACACACCTATTAGAGTGGCCAAAATCCAAAATCCCAAACTGACAGCAGCAAATGTAGGCAAGAGTGTGGCACGGCAGTGGACCCATTCCTGGGGGAATGAGAAATAGTGCTGCCACCTCCCAAGACAGCCCCGTTCACCCTTCCTGCCTGCCTGCCTCTCTATCTTTCCCTCTCTCCCTTTCTTCCTTTCTCCTTCCCTCCTTCCCTCCCTCCTCCCACCTCTCTTGTACCAGGGCAAGCATCCCAGTAGCCTATAACACCCTCAAACAAAGTAACCCAACAGGATTACAACACACACAAGAGCCACCATGTGAAGGTCCCACTAAAATCCACCAATTACTGAAGAGAAGAAAACATGGGGAAAGTGTCCACCAATCACAGACGTGTCACCGAGCAGCTCCCACTGATGTCCAACCAGCTCAGATTTGTCACCCAGCAGTGCCCATTATATTCCACATGCTCCAGAATTAGAAAAACAAAACAAATTAAGCATTTTAAACAAAAACAAGGAAGGTCCTTTAAAATAACCTAAGACACAAGCTGGGACCAGTGGCTCTTGCCTGTAATCCTAGCTACACAGGAGGCTGACATCTGAGGATCATGGCTCAAAGCCAACCTGGGCAGGAAAGTTCTAGCGATTCATCACCAGTTAACCATCAGAAAACTGGAACTGGAGCTGTGGTAGAGCACTAGCCTTGAGCACAAAAGCCCGGGGACAGTGATCAGGCCTGAATTCAAGTCCCTGGACCTGAACAAATAATAAAGCCAAATGATGCAACACACAGACGCTGAGAGACCAGCCCATCTGAGGTGGGGTGATGTCCACAGGAGAACATTCTAGAGAACTGAAGAGTTCATCACACCCAGCGGGAGGCCCGGCGTGCGGGCGGCTGACACAGCTGCACTGGCCTGAGCCGCCAGCCCTGTGTGGGATTTAATTAAGGTGCAGGTGCAGACATGCTACTTCCCCAGATGTGTGGCAGGGTCCCGGGACATTTGCTCTGTGAGGCCTGCCCAGTTCTGTTGGCACTGCCAGGACGAATGTCCCCTCTGCTGGACACCGCAGCAGGACGGGCCAGGCACCCGGCAGCGGTGGCCCAGTCTCCGCCAGCAGCACTCGCGTTGGGTCACTGCTCAGTGGCCAGGGGTGACTGTGAGTGGCGGGGTCTCACAGGGCAGCTCCCCTTGGAGTAGACGTGGCCCTGAGTCCCACCTTTGTTCCTAGAGGCCGTGGCCTGCGAGCTGACGTCCGCTCAAACCCCAACAAGGAGAGCAGGAGATGTGGTGATCTGTGAGTTTATTGATAATGTTGGCAGTCAAGGTGATGTGAGGTGGAGCAGAGGAGGGGGGAGGAAGGAGAGAACAGGGAGGAGGGAGAGGATGATCAGGTTAGCTCAGTGGACAGCTAGGGCACCTCTGCATGTCTTCATGATAGGGAAAGGCCCACTGTCCCCGGGCCGCACCCATCAGCAGCTGCACTGGCCTGGGGAGCCGCCACAGCAGGCCTGGCGGGAGCAGGCAGGGCGGCACAGCAGGGACACGCACGAGGCCGCCGGGCGGCAGCAGCCAGGCTGGCAGCAGGGGGCACAGCAGGAGGAGGTGGGCACGCAGCAGGCGGGCCTGCACACGGGCCTGCACAGCAGGGACACGCTGGAGGACGGCGCGCAGGGCGGGCAGGGGCGGCAGCAGGGCTGGCAGCTGGTCGGCTGGCAGCAGCAGGAGGAAGCCCCGCAGCACATGGACTCACAGTACACGGGTCTGCAGCACCCGGGTCTGCAGCACACGGGTCTGCAGCACATGGGCTCGCAGCACATGGCTCTGCAGCATACGGGTGTGCAGCACACGGGATTGCAGCACATGGGTCTGCAGCACACAGGTGTGCAGCAAACGGGCTCACAGCACATGGGCTTACAGCACACAGGCTTACAGCAGACAGGCACGCAGCAGGATGGCTGGCAGGCTGAGCAGAGGCAGCAGCAGGGCTGGCAGCTAGACGGCTGGCAGCAGGAGGGTGTGCAGCAGCTGGCGCAGACGGACTGGCAGCAGGGGCTGGACGCACAGCCCGCTGGGGAGCAGAGGAAGGTGAGGCAGGGGGCGGGGGCGCAGCCGCGGGGCTGGCAGCAGCTGGGGGCGCCGCAGGGCTCGCAGCAGCTCTCTGGGCAGTCGTCCACCTGCCAGGAGGCGTGGGTGCAGGCGTCGGAGCAGACGGACATGGTGGAGGCGGCCATGGCGGCGGGGCTGGGAGGAGCGGGAGGTGTGAGTGTGTGAGTGTGTGTGTGAGTGTGAGTGCAATGCCGCTGGCTTTTATACCCCTCCTGTGCGTGCTGTGCTGGCCACAGCTTCCCCTTCCTGGTGTATGGGCTCCTGGCCGCGTTGGCCGTGTTTGTTTGCTGAGTTGCTGTGCAGCTTGTTTTCCGCCAGACAGTGTCTGTGCCCGGGGCAGCAGCAGCAGGCTTGCCAGTGCGGATGGGGCTGCCTGCCATCGCTCTCTCTGCGGTTCACCTCTCTACCTCTCATCTCTCCGTCGGCCTGTGCTCTGTCTGACCCTGTGTCTGTCTGTCGTCTGTGTGCCTGGAGCATGGTGCTTGGTACTCATGGTGGTCCTTGTCTTGGTCACCGCGAGGAAGCTCAGTCGCTGTCCCTCCCCGGGCCAGCAGCCCGCCACCCTGTCCCCTTGTGGGCTGTGCTCCAGGCCCCTCAGCTGGCGTCCACCCTCATCTGCAGGCCAGTTGCCACCAGGTAGGGATCAGGACAGGGCACCAGTCACCACCAGGGCCGCTGGCTCCGAGCAGCTGAGCCTGGACCCTCATGTCTGCCCTGAGCTCTGAACCGTGTCTCAGCACCGCACACCTCTCCTGTGCCCGCCCGGTGCCCTCGCCCCTGTCTGTCCTCGGCCTGGGGCGGCAGGTTCCAAGTTGGAGTTCAGTCGCTCCTCGTCAGCCTCTAAGCAGCCGCTCAGCCTCGGCTTCCGAGTCTGCGCCTTGGCGGTGTCTGTGGGGCCAGGGCCGCGCCGGTGCTCGCCCTGTGTGCCCACCGCCCTTTGTGCATCTCATCTAGCCGGTCCTCCCGTGCCGGCCCTCCCGTGCCGGCCCTCCCCCCGCCGGCCCCGCCCCCGCCGGCCCCGCCCCCCCGCCGGCCCCGCGCCCCCGCCGGCCCCGCCCCCGCCGGCCCTCGCCCCGCCGGCCCTCCCCCCCGCCGGCCCCCCCCCCCGCCGGCCCCGCCCCCGCCGGCCCCCCCCCCGCCGGCCCCGCCCCCCGCCGGCCCCCCCCGCCGGCCCCGCCCCCCGCCGGCCCCGCCCCCCGCCGCCCCCCCCCCCCCCCCCCCCCCCCCCCCCCCCCGCCGCCGGCCCTCCACGTGTCACCATCGGGCGTCCCCGTGGGCAGTGTCCCCTGTGCGCCCCGTGTGTGGCCCCCACCTTGGGGCCGGCCGCCGGGTCGTGGCCCTTGACGGGCATCTTCTGGCTGGCAGCGCCCGGCTGCGTCCCGGCGGGCCAGGCTGGGGGCAGAGCACAAGGGCCTCACAGCGCCAGGGAGGCCCCGAGCCCCTGCCCAACCTCCTCACCTGGTGAGCAGAGCCCGCGGCCCCGAAGCCGCAGCGCAGGCCCCTCCGCCCGCAGCCCCCCGCACCCCCGCACCCCGCATCCGACTCCGCCCGCAGCCCCCGCACCCCGCATCCCACTCCACCCGCAGCCCCCGCACCCCGCGCTCCCCGCATCCCACTCCACCCGCAGCCCCCGCACCCCCACACCCCCCCGCATCCCACTCCACCCGCAGCCCCCGCACTCCCCGCATCCCTCTCCACCCGCAGCCCCCGCACCCCCACACCCCCCCCCCCCCGCATCCTACTCCACCCGCAAGCCCCCGCACCCCCCCGCATCCCATTCCACTCGCAGCCCCCGCACCCCTCGCTCCCCGCATCCCACTCCGCCCGCAGCCCCCGCACCCCCCCCCCCCCCCCGCATCCCACTCCGCCCGCGGCCCCCGCGCCCCCCCCGCATCCCACTCCGCCCGCGGCCCCCGCACTCCCCCCCCCCCCCCCGCATCCCACTCCGCCCGCGGCCCCCGCAGCCCCCCGCATCCCACTCCACCCGCGGCCCCCCCAACCCCCCCGCATCCAACTCCACCCGCACCCCCACACCCCCGCATCTCACTCCGCCCGCGGCCCCCGCGCCCCCCCCGCATCCCACTCCGCCCGCGACCCCCGCACCCCCCCCCCCCCGCATCCCACTCCGCCCGCGGCCCCCGCAGCCCCCCGCATCCCACTCCACCCGCAGCCCCCGCACCCCCACACCCCTCGCATCCTACTCCACCCGCAAGCCCCCGCACCCCCACACCCCCCCCGCATCCTACTCCACCCGCAAGCCCCCGCACCCCCCGCATCCCATTCCACTCGCAGCCCCCGCACCCCTCGCTCCCCGCATCCCACTCCGCCCGCGGCCCCCGCGCCCACGCGGCCAGCGCCACCAATAACCACCCGTTCCTTCTCCCTACAAGGACTGTCCTTTCCTTTCTTTCTTTCTTTTCTTTTTTAAAGACATGATACAGGATTTACTGGTGAGCAGGACTCAAGGAGCCGGGCGGGTGTGGAGCGCTGGGTGAGCCCGCGCCGGGCTCAGCGGGTGCCCTGGGCTCAGCGGGTGCCCCGCGCCGGGCTCAGTGGATACCCTGGGCTCAGTGGATGCCCCGCGCCGGGCTCAGCGGATACCCTGGGCTCAGTGGATGCCCCGCGCCGGGCTCAGCGGATACCCTGGGCTCAGTGGATGCCCCGCGCCGGGCTCAGCGGATACCCTGGGCTCAGCGGGTGCCCCGCGCCGGGCTCAGCGGATGCCCCGCGCCGGGCTCAGCGGATGCCCCGCGGCTGGGCTCAGCGGATGCCCCGCGCCGGGCTCAGCGGATGCCCTGCGGCTGGGCTCAGCGGATGCCCCGCGCCGGGCTCAGCGGGTGCCCTGGGCTCAGCGGATGCCCCGCGCCGGGCTCAGCGGATGCCCCGCGGCCAGGCTCAGCGGATACCCTGGGCTCAGCGGATGCCCCGCGCCGGGCTCAGCGGATACCCTGGGCTCAGCGGGTGCCCCGCACCGGGCTCAGCGGATACCCTGGGCTCAGCGGGTGCCCCGCGCCGGGCTCAGCGGGTGCCCCGCGCCGGGCTCAGCGGATACCCTGGGCTCAGTGGATGCCCCGCGCCGGGCTCAGCGGGTACCCTGGGCTCAGTGGATGCCCTGCGCCGGGCTCAGCGGGTGCCCCGCGCCGGGCTCAGCGGATGCCCCGCGGCCGGGCTCACCTGTTACTCGGAGGACCACGGCCATCAGGGATGAGGTGCTGCTCAGGCTTCATGTCTTCCAACTCATCCGCCTTAAACTTGGCGAGGCCCAGCCCGTGGAGATGTGGATCTTCTAACGGCCAGGGAGCTTGACCGCGGCCCTGCGTGCAGCCTCAATCACCTGTTCTACTCTGCAGCTCAGTGCAGATGGACGTGATGACCTGGCCAACGTGATCCTGGCCACAGTGCCCTAGGGTTTCCCAAAGGCACCCCGCATTCCTGCCTGGAGCCTAAGTGGGGGGCAGTATGAGATCAGAGGCATGTGGACACGCTGGGAGACGTACTCCAACGCCCCTTAGGACACCCATGTGAGTAACAGGCCAGTACACTACCAGACATGCTGCTTGCCACCACCGCCACATACCGAGTCTCCAGGAGTGACCTTCCTTCCTCCCTCCCTCCCTCCCTCCCTCCCTCCCTCCTTCCCTTCCTTCTACCCTCCCTCCCTCTCTTCCTTCCTTCCTCCCTCCTTCTCTTCCTTCCTCACTCCCTTTCTCTCCTTCCTTCCTTCCTTTCTTCCTTCCTGTTCCTCCTTCCCTGTCTCCCTTTCTTCCTGCCTGCCTTCCTTCCTGCCTCCCTCCCTTCCTTCCTCCCTCCCTTCCTTCCTCCCTCCTTCTCTCCTTCCTTCTCTCCTTCCATTCTTCCTTCCTTCCTCCCTTCCTTCCTCCTTCCCTCCCTCCCTCCCTCCCTTCCTTCCTTGCTCCTCCCTCCTTCCCTGTCTCCCTTCCTTCCTGCCTGCCTTCCTGCCTTCCTTTCTTTTGCCAGTCCTGGGGTGTGCACTCAGGGCCTAGGCATTATCCCTGACTTTTTGTGCTCAAGACTAGCACTGTACCACTTTGAGCCACAGCTCCACTTCCGGTTTTCTGGTGGTTCATTGGAGATAAGAGTCTCATGGACTTTCCTGCCCAGCTAGCATCAAACCTTGATTCTCAGATCTCAGCCTCCTGAGTAGCTAGAATGACAGACATGAGCCACCAGCATCTGGCTTTGCATTTTTTTCTTGAGATAGCATCATGTGGTCCTCATTTTGCCTGGCAAAATTAATAAGCCTTGACTTCCTGTTTCTCCAAAACCCTGCCCACGAGTATCGTGAGCTGGCATTAGGTTCAGGAGATGAATGTCTGGTATCTGTGCCCGAGGAGTAAGAGCCCCAAGGAAGGTGGAGAGTGAGGGCTGCAGCCATGTCCTTCCCTCCCTGCCCCTGGGGGGAGGGGCCTGGAAGAGGATGGGGGGCTGGAAGAGGATAGGGGGGCTGGAAGAGGATGGGGGCCGGAAGAGGATGGTGGGCTGGAAGAGGATAGGGGGACTGGAAGAGGACGGGGGCTGGAAGAGGACGGGGGGCTGGAAGAGGACGGGGGGCTGGAAGAGGACGGGGGCTGGAAGAGGATGGGGGGCTGGAAGAGGATGGGGGGCTGGAAGAGGATGGGGGCTGGAAGAGGATGGGGGGCTGGAAGAGGACGGGGGGCTGGAAGAGGACGGGGGGCCCAGCACTGTCCTGGGCTGTGGCTTTGCTCCCAGCAGGATGGGTACCATGTGTAATGACAGCGCCTGTCCCTGCCCCCATTTCTTTGCAGCCTCTTGCCTGCTGTATCTGCTTGGCAGTGTAAAGTTCATGGTTTTTCCCCATTCAGTCCCCCAGCACCTGGAATAGCACCCCAACATAGCTGCTCCTCCATAAAATGGAAAATGGACTCCCCGCTCTCCCCCCCCCCCACGGCCCCCAGGAAATGACAGAAGACTAACTCTGAGTCGTGAGACAGCTGAGGGCAGTGACAGGTGTCCGTGGGGACCCCGGTGGCCAGGGCCAGGAGAGCATGAACAAGAGCTCATCCATGGGCAGATCAGTACCCAGGATACTGCACACCTAACAAAACACCCCAAACACACGAAGCAAAATGGGCGGAACTGAAGAAGACATAGACAATCCCGTTCTAAACCACAGCTGGGCTCCAACAAGCACACTTGTCCCGAAGGAGGAAAGAATGGGGCCGGATCAAGCAGGGAGCCAAAGAGCACCCCAACACCCGTCAGACCCGCAGCTCTGCCCAGCCACAGCCCACAGCACGGCGGGCGAGGCCACAAAACTGGTCTCCTTCACCCTGTGTGACTGAAACTGAATCAAATATCTTCTCTGACCACAGAAGGAAATCAAAACCAAAAGGAAGACCAGAATCCATACATATGGGCCAATAACACACTTGAACAAAAGAAGCCTGGAGGAAGTTAGGAGGGCTTTGTGATGAACGAAGAAGACAACGAGGCAGGAGGAGGCAGCAGACACGGCCAGGGGCACTCAGAAAATGTCTAGGCGGAAAAAGAAGCAGGAGCCGGGCACCAGCGGCTCACGCCTGTCAGCCTGGCTGCTCAGGAGGCTGAGAGCTGAGGATGGCAGTTCAAAGCCAGCCCGGGCAGGAAGGTCCCTGAGACTCTTACCTCCAATAAACCATCAGAAAACCAGAAGTGGCGCTGTGGCTCCAGTGCTAGAGCGCTTGCCTTGAACTGAAGAGCTGAGGGACAGTGCCCAGGCCCAGAGTTCAAGACCCACAACTCTCTCTCTCTCTCTCTCTCTCACACACACACACACACACACACACAAGGAGTGTGATCTCAAGCCATAATCCAACTTCACACCCTAGGAAGCCATGACAGAGAGGAGAGGCGCTGGGGACGCTGGGGGCAGGGGAGTGCAGAGCCTGTGCCCTCCCCTGCCTTGCCCTCCCCTGCCTGCACACTTTCCAGGGTGCAGACCCGGTGGTGCTGGGGTCTTGCCCAGGTGGTTTCTCCGGGGCTCGCCCAGCCCCCACGGCACCCGCCTCCCCCTGCGCCACAGCACAGCTCAGGGCCCGCACAGGCCACTGTCAGGATCTCCGAACTGGAATGGGCGACCACGCCCCCTGCAAATCCACATCTGGGAATTTAGGCGACTCTAAGGCACTTGGCCGGATTGGAAGGATCAGGGCGTGGCTTGCAGCAGTTTAGATGACCTGCCAGTGCAGCTGGCCTTCCAGAGCCTGAGCCAAGAACTGTGTGCCCAACACCAGAAAGCACTAGCCTCTGCCAAGGAATGGCAGTGAGATAGCCCACTCCCGCAGGGCTGAGGAATGGCAGTGAGATAGCCCACTCCCCCAGGGCTGAGGGATGGCACTGAGATAGCCCACTCCCCCAGGGCAGGGATGAGGGATGGCACTGAGATAGCCCACTCCCGCAGGGCTGAGGAATGGCAGTGAGATAGCCCACTCCCCCAGGGCAGGGCTGAGGAATGGCACTGAGATAGCCCACTCCCCCAGGGCTGAGGAATGGCAGTGAGATAGCCCACTCCCCCAGGGCAGGGCTGAGGAATGGCACTGAGATAGCCCACTCCCGCAGGGCTGAGGGATGGCACTGAGATAGCCCACTCCCGCAGGGCTGAGGGATGGCACTGAGATAGCCCACTCCCGCAGGGCAGGGATGAGGGATGGCACTGAGATAGCCCACTCCCCCAGGGCAGAGCTCCCTGCGCCCTGGGAGGCAATGGCTGCCAAGGTTCAGCACCCACCCAAGGGGCAATCAGGACCCTGCCCTGCCCATGGCCGGCCTCAGGCTCTCCTCCAGCTGGGATGGGCGGAGCTTGGGCCTTCCCAGCAGTGCTCAGGATGTCAGGGCCAGGCCTAGGCCACAGCTACCCTGCAGAGGCCTGTGGTCCCTCCTCCAGCCCAGCCCAGCCCAGCCTAGCTCCCTCATCTCCAGCCCTCAGCACAGCTTGGGACGGAAGGTAGTCCAACACAGACATGGGTAGCGCTGGGTCCTAGCCTAGGAGGCCCCACAGGATGGGAGCGGGAGCCAGGGCTCCGGAGCCCACAGGACCTGCAGGGGAAACGGGAGGCAGACACCCCAGGCTGTGTGTAGCCAAGGAGCCCCACAGCTGGCGAGGCAGAGGGGCAGCGGCCGCAGCTTCCAGCACCTGACCAGGCCTCGCTGTGCCCCACCCCACCAACACACGAGTCCACACAAGACAGCGGGGACTGGAGGCTGAGGTGGGAGGACGGGGCCCGCAGGGTCAGCCTGGACAGCGGAGGAGCCATCGCTGAGAGGACCTGAGGTCAGGCCAGGCCACAGACTGGGCTGGGCTGGAGCAGGCCTGGCGGACCGGGCTGGCAGCCCCAGGGGGCTGAGCAAGGGGCAGCCCTGGATTGTGGATGGGCGAACAGCAGGCAGGCATTCAGCAGGCCTGCGGGCAGGAGAGACAGGCAGCAGGCTAGACTATTAGCAGCACGCAGAAGCAGCCCCAGAGCAGGTAGGCACACAGTACACGGGCTCACAGCACACAGGTCTGCAGCACACGGGCTCACAGCACACAGGTGTGCAGCACACAGTCTTGCAGAAGACAGGCACGCAGCAGGATGGCTGGCAGGCTGAGCAGGGGCAGCAGCAGGGCTGGCAGCTAGACGGCTGGCAGCAGGAGGGTGTGCAGCAGCTGGCGCAGATGGACTGGCAGCAGGGGCTGGACGCACAGCCCGCTGGGGAGCAGAGGAAGGTGAGGCAGGGGGCGGGGGCGCAGCCGCGGGGCTGGCAGCAGCTGGGGGCGCTGCAGGGCTCGCAGCAGCTCTCTGGGCAGTCGTCCACCTGCCAGGAGGCGTCGGTGCAGGAATCGCAGGAGCCGGGCAGGCAGACCCGGCTGTCATAGCTCAGGTCACTGGAGCAGACGGACATGGTGGATGCGGCCATGGCGGCGGGGCTGGGAGGAGGTGAGGGTCTGACTGTGGGGGAGTGGGTGGGTGGGGGGTGCCCTGCCCCTCTGCTTTTCTCCTCTGAGGTGTGTTTGTCTGTCTGGAGCCTCAGGTCCTTCCCTTTCCGTGTTGCTCTGGGTGCACGAGGACCTTCATTAGGGCTCAGCTCGTAAACTTCCTGGTGCTGGGCGGGGCTGCGGCCTGCGTGTGGCTCTGCTGGGCATCTCAGGACCCGTGGGGACGGTGGCAGGGCTGACCGCGTCCTCCTCCCAGGCCTCACCGCCAGCGGCCTGCCCGGGCTCCTGTGGGACACTCTGTCCCCAGCCTCTGCGCCGGTGGCCTCAGCCGGGTCAGATGGACCGAGCTGTGCGTCTGCGCCTAGACAGCGGAAGAACAGCCCTCCTGTGGGCTCTGAGTTGCCGTGGTCCGGTGCTGCTGCGGGCACTGGCCTGGCGAGGAGGAGGATCACCTGGAGATGCTAAAGAACACACATGGTCAGCTGGGCAGCGGCCCTGGCCCCAGGGGGGACAGCGTGGGCACGCTCTCTCTGGGATGAGCAGCCCTGCTCGGCCTGGGGTAGCTTGTTGGGAATTCAGTTCCCAGCATCCTCTAGGCCTCCCTGGTTGGGAAGCCCCAGCACCCGGTCCTGGAGGGAGACGCATGGGTTTCCTGGTTTCCGGAGTCCCGTGGCTTCTGGCTTCCCTTGTATTTTCCTGTTGCTGAGGGAGACAGATAAGGCAGTCCATGGCTGCCTTCCTCTAGGTCCCTGGGTCCGAGTAAAGCAACGGGCCAGGAAACCGCAATGCGGCGAGCATCCCTGGTCTGGGGGAAGCGGCTGTCCACTGAGCGATCCAGCTACTTCTCGGAGTCACCGCCTGAAACCCAGAAGCCCCAGGGTCATCCGAGGAGATGCACACGGAGGCCTGAGCGGTAGTCCATCCACATGGAGGCCGAGGAGAGTTTGGGCAGAAGTGTGCAAGCCTCCGATGTCACCCAAGGACTTGCACCAACGTGTGTAAACTCGGGACATGCTATCCTCTCACCAGCATGTGTAAACTTGGGATACGTGGCTCTTGAGGACGGGGGGACAGGAACCTCCTCTCTGCTTCCATTGCTGGTTTTGAAAAAAATTCCACCTTGCCCATGAGCCCTTCTGCATGGCCCAGCCCACTCCACATTCCCGCTGTGGCCCCCGAGGATGATGTCCACTGACTCTGCCGACAGTGACTGTTCTGGTCTCGCACAGAGACCAGCAGCATGCGCCTTTCCTGAACGGACTCTAGAGGCTGCAGTTTCCGGGACCACAGGGCAGAAACCCACAAGCAGGATCCCAGGGCCAGGTTTGATGGCGTCAGGAGACCACCTCTGCGCGGCGCTGTGGTAGTGTTTTGCAGCACCCCTGAGCTCTCACACGATGCTGTGGTGGTGTTTGCAGCACGGCTGAGCCCATGTGGGTGGTGTTTGCAGCACCGCTGAACCCATGTGGGTGGTGTTTGCAGCTCCCCTGAACCCCCTGAGCTCACGCACGGCGCTGAGGCTTCACATCCACTCACTTGGTCTCACATCACCTGGCCAACGCAGAGTGGACAGATTGGGAGTCTCTGCACAGAGAAGCTGTGGACAGATTGGGAGTCTCTGCACAGAGAAGCTGTGGACAGATTGGGAGTCTCTGCACAGAGAAGCTGTGGGGCCTATTCTTGGCTGAAGAAAGCAAGTGTGCAAAGAAATTTAATACTAAACAGTTGCATTTAAAAATAAAGAATTCATATGGGAAGGCCAGGAGTGGTGGCTTGGGCTTGTAACCCCAGCTACTTGGGACGCAGACAGAGCGTCATGTTTCAAGGCCAGTCTGGATAAAAAAGACTCCATCTCAACCCACAGACTGGGCACGGTGGTAGGTACCTATGGTCCTAGCTATGCCAGAGCATAGGTAGGAAGGATTGCTGTCTAAGGCTGGTCACATGCAAACCAAGACTCTACTTGACAAATAACGAGGCTTATAAAAAGGCTGGAGTATGGTTCAAGTGGTAGAGCACCTGAGTTCAGACTTCAATACCACAAATGGAAGGACCACTTCCCACAGGTGGTGGGACACACTTATCCCCTCGGCCATCAGGCTGCTCCTCCTAAACACAAAGCCACGGGTGCAATGAGAGAAAAGACAGCAGACAGTGTCAGCCAAGGCCAGACACGTGGATTCAGTCAGCCACGAGGAAGAGAGCGCCGGTAGGCCCTAAGTAACAACCAGAGCCAGAATCCTGGCAATGCCGGAGCTGGGGCACCCGGCACCAGCCTGCCCTAATGTGGAGGAACCCAGCACGGCGGGATCTTTAGAGCCCAGGCTGGACAGGCCACACTGCACAGGCCACACTGCACAGGTCACACTGCACAGCCCACACTGCACAGCCCACACTGCACAGCCCACACTGCACAGGTCACACTGCACAGCCCACATTGCACAGGTCACACTGCACAGCCCACACTGCACAGGTCACACTGCACAGCCCACACTGCACAGCCCACACTGCACAGCCCACACTGCACAGATCACACTGCACAGCTCACACTGGACAGGCTACACTGGACAGCTCACACTGCACAGCTCACACTGGACAGGCCACACTGCACAGGTCACACTGCACAGCCCACATTGCACAGGTCACACTGCACAGCCCACACTGCACAGGTCACACTAGACAACCCACATTGGACAGGGCATACTGCAGAGGTCACACTGCACAGCCCACACTGCACAGGTCACACTGCACAGGTCACACTAGACAGCCTACATGGCACAGACCACAGTGCACAGCCCCATGCTGGACAGGTCACACTGGACAACCCACACTGCACAGCTCAGCTCAAACTGCACAACCCACACTGCACAGCCCTCACTGGACAGCTCATACTGCACAAGTCACACTGGACAGGTCACACTGCACAGCTCACACTGCACAACCCACACTGCATAGCCCTCACTGGATAGGTTGCACTGGACAACCCACATTGGACAATTCACACTGCACAGCTCAAACTGCACAGGTCACACTGGACAGCTCATACTGCACAAGTCACACTGGACAACCTACACTGCATAGCTCACACTGGACAGGTCACACTGAACAACACACACTGGATAGCTCATACTGGACAACGCACACTGCACAGCTCACACTGCACAGGTCACATTGCACAGCTCACACTGGACAGCTCACAGTGGACAACCCACACTGCACAGCTCACACTGCACAGGTCACACTGGACAGGTCACACTGGACAGCTCACGCTGCACAGGTCACATGCACAGCTTACATTGCACAGCTCACACTTGACAACCCACACTGCACAGCTCACACTGGACAGGCCACATTGGACAGGTCACACTGGACAGCTCATACTGGATAGCTCACACTGGACAGCTCACACTGCACAGGTCACACTGGAGAGCTCACACAGCACAGGTCACACTGCACAAGTCATACTGGACAGGTAACACTGGACAACCCACACTGCACAGCTCAACTGTACAGGTCAAATTGGACAGCTCACACTGGACAGCTCACACTGCACAGCTCACAATAGATAGGTCACACTGGACAGCCCACACTGCAGAACTCACACTGGACAACCCACATTGCACAGGTCATACTGCACAACACACACTGGACAGGCCATACTGGACAGGCCACACTGGTCAGGTCACACTGGACAATCCACAATGCACAGCTCACACTGGACAACCTACATTGTACAGGTCACACTGCACAGCTCACACTGGACAGGCCATACTGGACAGGTCTCACTGGACAGGTCACACTGGACAACCCACAATGCACAGGTCACACTGGACAGCCCACACTGCACAGCTCACACTGAACAACCCACATTCCACAGCTCACACTGCACAGCTCACACTGGACAGCTCACACTGGACAGCTCACACTGGACAGCTCACACTGCACAGGTCACAATGGACAACCCATACTGCACAGCCCTCACTGGACAGGTCACACTGCACAGCTCAAACTGCACAGGTCACACTGGACAGCACACACTGCACTGGTCACACTGCACAGGTCACACTGGACAACCCACACTGCACAGCTCACACTGCACAGCTCACACTGCACAGCTCACACTGGAGAGGTCACACTGCACAGCTCACACTGGACAGCTCACACTGCACAGCTCACACTGGACAACCCACACTGCACAGCTTACACTAGACAACCCACACTCCACAGCTCAAACTGCACAGGTCACATTGGACAGCTCACACTGCACAGCTCACACTGCACAGCTCACACTGGACAAGTCACACTGGACAGGTAACACTGGACAACCCACACTGCACAGATCACACTGCACAGCTCACACTGCACAGGTCACACTGGACAAGTCACACTGGACAGATCACATTGCACAGATCACACAGCACAGGGCACATTGGCAGCTCACACTGGACAGCTCACACTGCAAGGTCACACTGGACAGCTAACACTGGACAGCTCACACTGCACAGGCCACACTGCACAGGCCACACTGGACAGGTCACACTGCACAGGCCACACTGCACCGGTCACAATGCACAGGTCACACTGGACAGCTCACATTGCACAGGTCACACTGCACAGGCCACACTGCACTGGTCACAATGCACAGGTCACACTGCAAAGGTCACACTGCGCAGACCACACTAGACAACCCACACTGCACAGGTCACACTGCACAGGCCACACAGGAGAGCTCACACTGGACAACTCACACCGCACAGGTCACACCACACAGCTCACACTACACAGCTCACACTGCACAGGTCACACTGGACAGCTCACACTGGACAGCTCACACTGGACAGGTCACACTGGACAACACACACTGCACAAGTCACACTAGACAGCTCATACTGGACAGCTCAGTATGCACAGGTAACACTTTACAGGCCACACGAGACAGCTCACACAGGACAGTTCACACTGCACAGGTCACACTGGATAA